CGCACCGCTCGCCAGCTGGCTCGCCATCGTGCCGTCGGGAAGCTCCCCGAGGCGCGGTTGCAAATGCTTTGCGGGCGCCATGGGGCCCCACGAGTACTTCATTTGAGGCGCGCGGTTAGCGAGCTGGAGCCTCGCCGCCACCGCGTGCCTCACTATATAAGGGAGCGCCAAAGAGCGCGCGCACCGATAGCGACGTAGATGTTGGCGACGGCGGCGCCGCTGATGATGGCTATGCTGAGGTCGGGGGGATGATGAGCAGAGGCAGACGAACCTTGGCGAGCATGCTCGCCACATCGGCGCGAACCTTGGCGAGCATGCTCGCCATGCCAGCCTCCATTCCGCAACTATCATCCTCAATGCTCGCCATATCGGCACGAACCTTGGCGATCACGCTCGCCAGATCGCCCTCGTCATCCAACTCACCAGCATGATGGTAATGAGAATCGCCAGCATAATTATCACCATCGTCATCATCACCATCATCATCATTACAAGCACTCCATCATCATCAACATCAGCATCGAAAATCATCGTCGTACAACTAATATTCACTCATCCTCGTCATGTTCCCTCCCTTCCTCCGCTTCGATGGCGACGACGTCAGCGGCGCATCGGCATGGCGTGTGTTTGGCCGCTTTCGTTTTGTATGTGCGTGCTTTTGGCTTCATTTCGTTTGATGTGGTTGGTGATATCAGTTGTTTCGGTTGTTTTATGTGGTTGGTAATTTCATTTGATTTTTCTGTTGGTTGATGTGAATTGTTGAATGCAGTTGATGTGGTTGGATTGATTTCGTTTGATGTGGTTGGTGGTTTGTTTTGTTGATGTGGTTGATGCGTGGTTGATAGGGTTGGTGTGTTTTTGGTTGAGGTGGTTGGTTGATGTTTGGTTGACGGGTTGTGTTTTCTTTCGTGTTGGTGTTGGTTTTGTGTGTGTGTGTTGTTTTTGGTTTGGTTTGTGTGTTGTTTGGTTTTGTTTGTGTTTTTTTTGTGGTTTGGGTTGTGTGTTTGTTTTGGTTGTGTTTGTTGGTTTGGTTTGTATTTTTTTGGTTTGGGTCGTGTGGTTTTGGTTGTTTGTGTTTTTGGTTTTGGTGGTGTTTTGTTTTGTTTTGTTTGTGTGTGTGTTTTGTTTTGTTTGGTTTTGTTTGTGTTTTGGTTGTTTTTTGGGTTTTGATTGGGTTTTGTTTAGTTTTGTTTGTATTATAGTTTCATTTTGGTTTCATTAATGTTTCTTAACATAACTATGAAACATTGTTAGTTCAGATAGTTTGAGGCGGGCCTTAAAGCATGTCGAAGCCACCGCGCGTCGCCCGGCTCCCCGCAGCTCCTGCCACAATGTCGAAGCCCACCGCATCTAGCGTTTCTCTGTCCGCGCGTGCGCGGCGCAAGCTTCCCCGCCATCGGCTCTGATTTTGAAGTCTGAAGCCGAGGCCATGTCACGTCTGGCGCCCGGGCCGAACAATGCCATTACACCCGTGATGATATACAATGTGCGCGCGTTTCGCATCTCGCGTGACGTTCGCAGATTAGACCTGCACTGCAAGGCCGCGGCATATCGCGCCTGCTGCAAGTGCGCAGCCTTTTGAGAGGAAGCGGAGGGGGGTCGAGGAGGTTTTGAAGGGGGGCGACTTGGCGGCGGCGCATCGGGGCCACTTGTAAAGCAACGATAATTCCATCCTCGCCTGCCCCGAGGAAGCGCGGGCTCAGCTCGCAACCGCGCCGGGCATCCAGTCAGACCCCCTACTCGTCGGTCTCCAGGCAAAGACTATGCGCTTGCATGAGCCTCACAAGTATCCCAGCTGTTGTCGCCGAGCTGCCCTTTCTCATCTCCAGCGCTTCTGCCCGGAGCGTTCAGAGCAGATCTGGGATCGGCAGCCCATGGGAATGGGCATCGTTGATCGGGGCCGCCCGCCGTTCATTCTCACTTCCACCTTCGAAGCCATCTCGAACTGTTGGAATGCGACCTCGATGCGCAGACCAGGCACTCAGAATTAATTGTCTCTTCGGCTGTGCCGCGATGGGTGGCGACGCTCTCTAACGCTATTTTCCGGTGCCCCCGCTCAACCTGAATCGATGGCCTGCCTCCCCCATCTTCCTGATAATTGTGTCACTGGTGACGTTAGCTCTTGAATGTTCCGAATCCCCCCAAAAAAACGTCTTTCGCGCGACTGTTTTCAATATCGGGATTGCCTTAGACATCGCGCTGAATGCTTTCAACCAGCTTCATGTTAGCGGCTGCCCCGATCACCCCCGTGTCTCTCGCCTGATTCGGGCGCGAGCTCGTTCGATCGCTGCTGCCTCTTTTGTTGCCTCTTCTTCCGCTGCCTCTTCTGTCGTCGTGCTTCCGCGCGGCGCCGGGCAGTGGCAGCAGGGGGTGGGGCGCTGGGGGCGGGGTGCGCGCTCCTCCTTCTGTTCCTCCTCCCCCATCCTCCTCCTAGCCGGTCTGCATCGAGCCGCGCGCCACTTGGGCCCGCGCCCGCCGCCCGCCGCGACGGCCGCCGCCGGGCTCGCCGCGCGCCCAGAAGTCAGCGGCGCGGGCG